GCGCCGCGCCCGCCGCCTGCCGCGCCCACCCGGCCTGGCGTGTGCGGGACCCCGCCTCTCCACCCCGGCTCGGAGGTGTCGCCCGGGCCGCCTGATCACCATCGGCACCGTGCTTGTCCCCATCCTGCTGGTCACCCTGGTCTTCACCAAGAACTTGTCCGGGGCGGAGGGAGGCGCGGGCGGGCGGGCGCTCTCCGAGCTCGCGGGCGGCCCAGCGATCGCCGCGGGCGGCTTCCTGCGCGTTTCCAGTCCCAGCCGGGGTGTCCCGGGGGCCGCCTTCCTGCACAATTCAGATGCTCTCTGCTGTCTGTCTGTACAGGCGCAGTGCGTGCGGACGGCACTCGCGCCTCAGTGTCCGGTGACACGGTGTTTTTAGGTGTGCGCTGAAGTATTTTACTTCAGGAGATTAGGTAAAGAGCAGTTTGAGTAACTGGTGATGTTGCTCCTAGGTGTCTCAGAGGCATGCGTTTTGTGTTTTTCTTCTGAAACTTTGGAAAGCATTCCTTTTTTTTTCATACTCTCCCTTCCTTCAAATCTCCCCCCCCCCCCGCCTTTAATAGAATATCATATATATTTGTATTACTCTGGAAGGACTTTTCCATATACAACTGTGTACCGAACTGGTATTTAACTTTTGCATCCAAGAGAGATCGAAGAGACTGTTAGGAAAATGAGAAAAACTTGAATTGTAGAATTACTTTTCTCTAGAATGAGCAGAATGAGTAAGAAAGGATACTCTGAACTGTAGTATGAGGGAAGAAGTCACCTCAGTCCACAGTATTCCTCCTCAGTTGAAGATGGGAGGGCGGAGCAGATGCAAATTAGTTTATAGGGCTTGTTTCATCCTGTTCTTAGATGCACATCTTGTAGTACTTTTTTTTTTTTTTAAATCAGTGTTTAAGGAGAAGTTAGAGCAAGCATTAATTTCTTGAGAGATGCACGTATTTTAAAAAATAAAAAAAAAAATCACCAGTGTACAGAAATACCCGGGTCTTACTTAGCAGGGATATAGACTACCTGAAATGCATGTATTAATCCTTGGCATTGTGGGGTCAGGCAGGCCCCTTGCATCTTCAGTAGAAAGATTAAAACGGAGCTGTGTCTTGAAGAAAGTTTTTAAATGGCTTTTGGCTCACTTTTTGAAATTCAATCAATGAATAGATTGTGTGAGAAGTTAGTAGACGTAACTTTGAAGAAGCAATCGGAAAATATAATGTGAAGGCAAATGCCTAATTTTATAAAGATATTGGTGTTAAGCAAATCTTTTTTTCATTAGCCTTGGGGTATGTAAACAGTTTGTAACTTAGAATGTGCTTAAGTACAATAAATAAATCTCAGGAAAGCATTATTGTGAAATGGAATGCATTCGTGTCACATTATTACTGTCACGTAGTGAGCCAAGACATGGTGAGTCCTGGGAAGAAAGCTTGTGTTTTAGGCCATGACAAGGTAAGAGAAGCATTCAGGGATGTGTTCGCTGTCTTATTTTGATTTAGTAAGATGAAAGCAGTGTTTACATCTATGCTACACTTCATATTTTATAAAAACTTGCAATACATTATTTGATTTGTAATCCTCATAATTCTGGGATGTGGACAAAGTGTAGGTGAGATTACAGCCTCAGAGGTTAAATGCTTTGCTTTAAACCTTAAATTTCAGGTCATTTAGATTGCTAAGATGATAGAACTACTTTTGTTGCTTTTTCTGCTGTTCTATAGTCATGATTACATGGAATGTAGTGAGAAAAGAAATTATTTTTAGAATTAAGAAAATTAGGGGCCAGAGGTATAATTTGTAGTACAGCACTTGGGATGCACAGGTCCCTGAGTTTGATCCACAGCTCTGCAGGAGATGATAACCACAGTAAACCATGTATTTATTGGTAAGTTTTATAGAGATGCTTTTTTGTTAACAAGAAATAAAAGTAACCAAGTTTTTTTTTTCCTTTTAGAGCAAATCCAGAAAGAACCTTTGACTTGGTATTAAAAGTGAAATGTCATGCCTCTGAAAAAGAAGGTATGTATGTCCTTTGGAGTCTTACAACATACTGAGTCTGTCAAACAACTATTAATATTGTGGATGGCTGACACATGATAGTATCAGGAAAGTGATAGCACTAAATGTGTATTCTGCATAGAGTGTCTCAAATTGCTAGAAATAAAATACACACTAGGACTTTGCCCTGGGATTGAAGACATCATGAATGTTATCTGTACAGCTTGAATTTCAAGAGTGTGTTAAGTCCGTATAACTTACAACTCAGTTTTCTTCTTTGTTGAAGTTATCATTAGTTATGGTGAAATGGTGTGCCTTTTCATTTGCTTTATTTTGAGCTTGAGAATTCAGCTCCCTTTTTAAAACATTAGTGTAAATTCTCTGACCTTACCAATGGTACTGTCAACAGTTCCCTTCTAATGTTTCTGGAATGCAGAATGGAGACTGGTTGGCCCCTTCAGCTGGACTTACTCCAGTGACATAGCCCTTTCAGTGTGACATTACCTGGAAGGGTTTCAGCTGCCAGTTCTGCACAGTTTTCTGAAAAGTCAAGAATACTTTAGTATTGCAACTTTCATCAGCCTCCCCCCTTGAGTGTTCTATTTAGGGGTGAGGAATAATTCTTTAATGTGTCTCTGTATGATATGCCTTCATGGCTATCTCTTGTGTATGCCTTTATTTACAGTGTACTTAGACCCTTGATAGCATGTTGATTAACTGTGGGAATCTGTGGAGACCACTAGTTGACTGTCCTAAAGACTTTATAGGAAGTCTGCTGCCATTCTTAGCCTTAGAAACTAGCTAGCAATTATATGCTTTTAAGTAATTTGGAGCTGAACACCTTAAAATAGAGGAGCCCAACCCACTTGTGGTAAAATGGGCATGGGTAATTTTAGGTAGGAAGCCTCACATTCCTGGCTCCACCAGCTCTACCTGCTGTACTTGGGCCTGTTTTAGCTACAGCTATGATCATATTTGTCTACTGGCAAGGAATATGTAATCTTCAGGTTCCTCTGCCCATGAAAGAGGTTGCTTTGTTGTATAGTAAAGTTTGTCCATTTGCATTCTTCCCAAGACCAACCAAATTGTCTGTACAGAATCAATGCATTATGCAGAATATATTCAAATGCATGCATTAGTTTTCAGCTCCTACTTAAATTTATAGTATATTTAGGGTATGAGTTGATCTTAAAAATTTTATTATAGCATTGCCTAAGGTATATGAAGTAAGAGTCACTTGATGGGTTTGTAAAGCAGGCTAACTTCAGGATTTGGAAAATGAAGGCCTTTATAGACGTGCCTCTATAAAGGCATTTGAAACTTTTTGATTAATCCCTATTTTGCTGTGTCCTTTTCCACTTTTCATTCTAGTATTTTGTCTACTATGAATCTTCTCTTCCTGATTGCTTAGTGTTGTCAATCTTTACATCACCACGTTCTAGAAGCATCTTCATTCTTGTTTCAGTAGTTTACCTACTCTGGTAAAGTTGAGACTATAATAAATGGATAAAATAAACAATTTTGGCTTCTCTGTAGGCTATAGTTAATCCATTTTATGTGGCTAAGTGGCAGTAAATTCTAAAGGTTTTTTTTTTTTTAAAAAGACATCCAAGTTTAACAAACATTAGCCTTTTTTTGATTGAGACATAATGAATATTTTAGGGCCTAACAGTTTATATCTTTTGTGCCTTAAAAAGTAGTGGTTCTGTAGCTAAGAGGTCTGTAAAAGTAAAATTTTATATCAAATTGAGAATATAACATTTTTGTAATATTTTACTAACTTTCTTTTTTATTGCTAAATATTATATCTGCTAACATTTAAGTGAGCATGGATGAAATTCTTGTGCAACAATAGCCTTTGAAAACAAAATGTGTCAATTAGGATGCTTTGGGGTACAAATTTGTAAAACTGATTTAAATATGAGGAACCTTGGTAGTTCCTAGAAGAAGCAACCCAGAGGTGGCTTGTCAGTGATCTACGTTCTTTCTGCATCTTAGCTCTGCCACCCAGAAAACCGTGTCATTGAAAGACAGATTGCTTATGGTCATGACAGTAAATGCTGGAACTCTCTCTCCCTTTTAGCACTATGGAGATGACAGGCGCTAGCTTTTCATGGTTCTGTGTTTAGGAAATTTCCTTCTGAAAATCCCCCCCAAAAGCTCCTAGATGTCGGTGGCTAAGTTGTCATGGGCATGACTGTTCTTATCATAATGATGGGCAGGGCTTTACTTGGGAGGTTGTGGCAAGACTGTTAGGATTGAATTACTAAACCATTGGTAAGGAGTTGATGTTGGTATGGAGTGAGCAAGGAAAGCAAGCAATTTATTTATTTTGCAGAACTAGGGATTGAACTCAGGCCCTTGGGCTTGCCAGACAAGCGCTTATTCTACTGAGCTATTTCCCTGGCCCCAAAGAGTTGATGTTGGGAAGTCAATTAAAATTCAGTGATTTCTCATAGCATTTAAAAAAGATTTTTTTTTTTTTTTAATGTTTTGCAGTACCAGGGATTGAACTTGGGACCTTGTGCTTGCCAGGCAGGAGCTCAAGCTGCTGAGCTATCTCCCTGGCCCAGCATTTATTTTTTTGATGACTTTGATCAAATAGGGAATATGCTCAGGCTAAATGTGGTTTATACTAAGAGTGAAACATTTTCAGTCTTCAGGTTAAGATATTTGGCCTACTTCTCTTTTTCATTTTGTTGTTGTTCATTGTTTAATGGAAAAGTTTTAATTTTTTCATTTATCCTGGTAACTGTCTTCAGAGAGACACTATAATTAACTGTGCTATTGTTAGCTGTTTTATGTAGCTAGGCATGGAAAAATTATGATTTTTTTTTACTATTTGGATTCATTTTATAGGTATTAAATTGATATTTCTGCACACAATACATCTTAGAACAGTCTTGAAAATAACTTAGTTTTATATGTAGTATTGCACAGACCTAGAGATTTTGATGAGAAGAATTGGTAGTGTTTTTCTGTCATGCCCCTGTGTTAGTAGAACTGGTCCTGGTTGTGCCTGGCAGACTGGTTGTGGCATCTTCTAATGGAAGTTACCCTGGCAGGACAACATTCCAGTAACTTGGACTCCAGCTGTCCAGAGGAAAGTGCCAAAGTGGAGCGGTAGTGCTCTTCCTGGTAGGTCTCCAGGCGTGTTGCTGTAGCTCTTCTCTTTGCTGAGTCTTTCTTCCTGACAGGCAGGGCAGTGCAGTCAGCAGCATCCCTTGTTCTCAGTTCTAGCGACAGAACTTGCTGTAACCATACTCCGCTGCTTTCCCCAGAGTGGGCCAAGACTTTAGGGAAATGAAAAGTGTCCTTTCCTCAAAAGAATGGGACGCTTTCTCTCAGGGTTTCTCCTTAGGCAGCTGCTTTGGTACTTTACCTTTTTCTTTTTTTATTCTGTTGCTAGCCCAGCACAAGCAGTAGTAGCAGTAGCAGCTGAGGCAGGTAAAATCTGGGAGTGTTTTTATGTACTAGATGTGCAAGCCTCACAAAAACTTGATAGGAAATATTAAGCTTCCTTTTGCACACAAAGAAACTGAAGCACAGAGAAATTAAGAATTTTGTTAGAATTAGTAGCTCCAGAGACTGTATTTTAATCACTGACATAAACTCCTCATGGACCATTTTGTCTTGTGAGGGAATATTAGACTATCAACTATATCTGGTGCAGCTAAGTTTGAAAATCACAAATGTAGTATGTTCTTTAACATTAATGAACTCAATATAATTCCACCTAGTTACTGAAGTTTTTGTAGTTGTGGACTCTGTCTCAGCAGAGTAGACCCTATTTTGTTTTATAGAATTTGTATCTGTATATTTAATTAATTTTTGCTTTGTCACTAATATTGATTCTATTAATTAATAGTTTGATGTTAATCAGTAGTTTTAAGCATGCTCTTAGCAAATCTTGTTTTCTTTGTTTCTTTCTCTTACAATGATTTCTTTTGGATACAATCCCTGTTTGCTTTCTACTTTGACTAACTCATCCAATTTGATACCAAATTATCTTTTTCTTCTAGCTCTTCAGCTCAGGTTAATAGTTTATGGACTTCACTCTTTTTTTCTCGTTTTGTTTTTGAAAAAATGTATTTGGTACAGGGTCTCACTACAGTGCTTAGAATCATAGTGATCCACCTGTTTTCAGCCTCCCCTGTGCTGAGATTACAGGTCTGTGCCACCACGCCTGGTCTTGGTGGCCAACGCAGTGTGCCCAGGGATGGGACTGGTACAGCATGTGGTGCTGGGGATTGAACCTGGGTTCTTGTGTTTCCTAAGCAGGCACTTAGTCCACTGAGCTATCTCACTGGCCCTCAATCTTTTTTTAAATCAAAACTTTAACCCGAAGCATTCTTAGTATCAAAAGGTATATCTAAGTTTGCCTTTGTATTTGATAACATTTTTGCTATAGTGATATTATTTACCCTGGGCTCTAAACCGTCTTGCTTTTGCTTGTATTTCAGCACTTACTTTGTTCTTGCACATACATCTGATTTAGTCATATATAGTCTTACAGATAGCGTGACTAAATGTATATAGATACCGTGACTGAATATATAAATGGCCCTGCTTGGAAGATCCTCATGTCCCACATTAATTCATGTCCTTAAGAAAGAGCTTACTACAGCATCTGACCAATTTAATTAATATTGAGAGAATGACAAAGAAAAAAGAAATTGACCCTAATTTATTGCTGGCCATTGAATTATCAAATGCTGATTAAACTAATTCACAGAGCTGCTTATAGAAGTGACCTTAAAGGCATGAAAGCCATCAGATATATGTAAGGACTGGTTGAAAGATATGGTGAATGTTGAAATTTAAGGGCTACATTACACTGAAACACATTGCCTTTAATACTGCTCAGAAATCCCTTTCGCTTTGAGAACACTTACTCTGTTGTTTTTGCCACTTTCTGAAGCAGTTCTGGAAGTCCTCTTTTGTAAGTATCTTTAGTTGTACCTTCATGACTACCTCAGTGTCCTGAAAGGACTCTTGAGTTTTTACCTCTCATGGTCATT